AATTTTTTCTTTTGTTTTAGTTGGCACTGCCACCTGTATACTTGTGTGTGACGTATTTTCTTACGTATTCATTCTAAATATATATATGTATATTTTATTTTCTAAACACAAATAACCCTTATTAAAAAATTAATTTAAGTGAACAGTATCGCACGATCGAATTAGCGATTAGTGTTCAATTAAATTAATTTTTATTTTACCAATCGAAACTCCATTTTTTTTTGTTCCTCCATAAAGAAAACGCGGTTTAGGGTGTTAAGGTACTCAAGAATTTTAGGTATGTCGACTTTGTTTATTTTAAACAATTATTTTATGAGTCGTTCGAGCTCCCGTTTGCAACTGGATTAAAAAATCTTCCACCGCTCAGGCGTCTTTCAACCAAACCTCATTTTTCTCAAAACACAGTTTTTCGAACTCGTATGCAAAGTTAATTGGTAAAAAATAAATCGATTGACTTCTTGGCTGCAACTACCTTACACATGTCTATTGTCATAAACCTTTAAAATGAAACAAAAATAATAATTTGGCTATTGAATAATGATATGTCGTCCACACAGTTATCTTTCTTATTAAAAAAAAATACAATATTTTAGAGAAAAATGTTTAACGCGTTAATGCTGGAGCGGCGGCGCTGCCATTTGTGATTCCCGCCATGGGGCGGTGCGGTGGTACACGCCGTTTGATAGACATGCGAGCGTGAGCCACAGGTGATGCACGCCGCCCGATGGGACGTGTAAACGTGAACCACCGGTGGTACATGCCAACCTCAACGTATTAAACACTTTTCGTACATCTTTGCACGTCTTTTATACTTTCTAGAGTATCCTAATCCCTTAAGGTATCATGCTGAAGCGGCGGCGCTGCCATTTGTGATTCTCGCCATGGGGCGGTGCGGTGGTACACGCCATTTGATAGACACGCGAGCGTGAGCCACCGGTGATGCACGCCGCCCGATGGGACGTGTAAGCGTGAGCCACCGGTGGTGCACACCGACCTGAACATGTTAAACATTTTTCGTACATCTCTGCACGTCTTTTTCACTTTCTAGAGCATCCTAATCCCTTAAGGTATCAAATAACAAAAGCATCGAGTACATTTATTCACAAAATTATAGATAAAGGATTTTACCATGGATTAAAATTAACTCTAAGTTAATTTTAGCCTCTAAGAGCTAAGTTTTGCCCCCTTAAAAGTCTTCCTAACGATTAACTTGTAAAAGATACGAGTGGACGTACAAAAGGCTAACGTTTATAGGTACATCGTAACGCGTTTCCTTTAGTCTAACGCATATTTCTCGCGCGATTCTAATAAAACCGTCGTCATTGGAAAATTACAATCAATTGCGACGAACAGGCCGAGTGAGTCAATCCATGTTCCTATGCTCGACCTCTTGCAACACCAGTCGACATTCCTGCTCCAAGACACCGCCCCAGACCTGGTACCGATGATTCAAACCTGGCACGGCATGCAACACCGTTCTGGAGCCCAAAACCCCTGTAATCTGATTAGGCACACCGTAAAATATCCTCGCGACTCTAGAGTGCACCAGCGCCATCGCGCAAAGAGGACAAGGCTCCTTTAAAAGAAAGGTCCAGTATCCTGTGCAGAGGTAAGGTCCACATTTCTCTGTGTCCACTGGTTTGCTCTTCTCTGAATTCTCCGCTTTCGATCTGTTATTCCCGCGTCCTCGACGAGTCGTGATCGATTTAAGAGTCTCCTCCTTTGGGAGAGAAATTTCTGACAACGATTTCGGGTAACGAAGAGGCGCATCCTCGGCGTACTTTCTCTTGATCATTTTTTCTCTTGCTACGTAGCTTCCGTCGTCGTTTTCATTGATGGACGTTTCCTGTCTCGCCGTGCTTTCCTCGAGCTCTTTCTGCGATTTCCAAGCACCGCCGCCTTGGAGTTCGGCGACGAGGTCGACCGCTAGCATAGCAGCGTGCCAGATCGGATGTTGATCGATCTGGGAGGCAGCGATCGCGAGGATTCTTCCATCTTCCGGATCGACGATAACCGCGCTTCCGTTGCAATCGTTATTCCCGACGGCTCCTAACCTGGCTGCCTCTACCGCCACGTGCATGTATCTTTCTACGAGGTCTAGCTGGTGCTGAGTAAAAATCGACCCGTCGATCAGGGACTCGATGGCAGGATCAGGGTGGAAATTCAACGGCCAAATCTTCGAGACTCGCGCTGCCTGCGATTTCGTTTTCGCCGTTCGCGATGGAACCTTGACGATTTGTAAATCGTCTTCCAACAAAGTCAAGTCGAATCCGTTCGTTTTTAGAAGGGATTTCAATTCGTTCTGAGTCAGTGCCTTTTCTGTCGACGACGGGTCTTCCGTTTTCGGTGATTGTTCCGAGGAGATCAGAGGTGCCAGTAACAGTTTGTTCGATGAGCAGCGTTTCAGGTGACCGAATCCGGGGAGAATAGAGGATACGGTTTTAATCGCCGTCGAGATGTCCTGTTTCCGCTTCAGCACTCCCACGTAGACTTCCTCGAGCGGCGGATCGTCTATGTAGTCCGAGCTTAAAATCGGTCTTGCTGTCCAGCTTCTAGCCACGGTCTCCGATTTGCTCTCCTTGGCACGTTTCGGCGAGGTGGTCACCATTTCTCCTGAAAAGACGGCGACTTTACGTTGAAATATCTTAATCAGCGGTTTCCGAAGTTTTATTTTATTTTTTTGTTTGCTTGTCAAAAGTAGAATATCTCTGACTTTAGTCTCTAATGGTCTTTAACAGGCAGTTTTGACATCGGTTGAGTAAAAGTTTTGAGAGCAATTGCGAAGATATTTGGAAATGTTTCTCTTGAAATGTTCGCCGACAGGTGACACGATTTCTTCTTTCGTTGAAATATATATATCTCCCACGAAGATACTTATTGAAATTTGAATGCGTGTTAAAAATTGTAGGTGGGAGTAACATTTGGAGGGTTTCGTGGAAAGTGTCAGGTTGTAAGGATGTTAAATTGAAATTTTTTTAAATTGTTGAACAATTTTTAAATTCTAAAATTTCAAAAGTGCGTTGGATAAAAAATATGAGTGCGTCGAGTTGTTTAAACGGGGGACGTAACCCTAATAGATAGCTTGCATGAGTGAAAAAATGGCTGGAAACGCGTTTTTAGCCTCTTTTTCCATCGAAATACGGTTTCGCGACGCTTTTCAGATTTCAAGGATACATTAGTTTCGGGGACTCTTCAAGTGCTGAAGTAGGGTTAGGATAAAGCGCCTCATACACGATACGATCTGTTGTACAACACGTCGTCCGATAGATCGTACGATCAATCGCTTTGACGGACCCTTCGACCGTATGAATGGGATTCCATTGTCTGTGGTGGGTTTCCATACGACGATACGATCCGTTGTACAACGCGTTGTACAACATGTCGTATGACCAATCGCTACGACGAGATCCTGCGACCGTATGAATGGGATTCCATTGTCTGTGGCGGGTTCCCATGCGACGGTACGATCCGTCGTACAACGCGTTGTACATCATGTCGTCCGATACATCGTACGATCAATCGTTTCGGTGGACCCTTTGACCGTATGAATGGGATTCCATTCTCTGTCGCGGGTTCCCATAGGACGGTACGATCCGTCGTACAACGCGTTGTACGATACGTCGTACGACCAATCGCTTTGACGGATCCTTCGACCGTATGAATGGGATTCCATTTTCTGTGGCGGGTTCCCATACGACAATACGATCCGTCGTACAACGCGTTGTACAACACGTCGTATGACCAATCGCTTCGACGAGATCCTGCGACCGTACGAATGGGATTCCATTCTCTGTCGCGGATTCCCATACGACGATACGATCCGTCGTACAACGCGTTGTACAACATGTCGTCCGATACATCGTACGACCAATCGCTTTGACGGATCCTTCAACCGTATGAATGGGATTCCATTTTCTGTGGCGGGTTCCCATACGACGGTACGATCCGTCGTACAACGCGTTGTACAACACGTCGTATGACCAATCGCTTCGACGAGATCCTGCGACCGTATGAATGGGATTCCATTGTCTGTGGCGGGTTCCCATACGACGGTATGATCCGTTGTACAACGCGTTATACAACACCTAGTACGACGCGTCGTACAATCCGCTTCTTGAGACCCTTTAACCATATAAATGGGAGTTGCATTGCCTGTAGCGCGTGCCGTCGCATCGTTCGGAAGTTGGGCGTGCCAAAAATCTGTGGAACGACGGATCGTTTTCCGATGCAATCTTCCATAAATGATGCAAGATATTACCGCGATGAATCGCAAAAAATTTTCAAAAATTGATTGTTATTCTTTATTGCTGCTAACCATTGTCATTGCAAGAAACCTATTATTTAGTGTTGCTCTGCGAGGAATATACAGATAGTCGCTAGAAAATATGAAATAAAATAATTTTATAACAAAAACAATGCACTAAAAAGCATGACATAATTTCCATTTAATTTATGCCAATAGACAGTAACTATTATATTAATGAAATTGATGAAAGTAAAATGTTAAATACCATGTTAAATGCAATACAATAGTAAAAGTTTTGCGAGCCATTGCGAAGAAATTTTTTAAATATTTCCTGTGAAAAGTTCGATGACCGTTGACATGATTTCTTCTTTCGTTGAAATATATCTCCCACGAAGATACTTCTTGGAATGTGTTAAGAATTGGAGGTACGAGTAACATTTGGAGGGTTTCGTGGTAAGTGTCCGGCTGTAAGGACGTTAAATTAAAATTTATCTCCAACGAAGGTACTTCTTGAAATTTGAATATGTTAAAAATTGAAACTACATACGTAGTTTCGACCGTCAACGATAAGTTTTCGATTTATAATTCCCTAGATTAATACACTTTCATGGAAATAGCCAGAAATATTGTTCAAAGTTATACTTTCAGTATACGATGCACATTGTGCGATGTATCTACATGTGTCAGATGTCCGGTATTCCCAGTGAAAGATTCTCAAGTATCGGCATTCTTTTCAGCCCGAAACGAGGTGTTTCTCTTGAAACATAGAGCGCGCTGTGAAGCCAGTGATTTTTCACGAGGTCGGTATTTCAGTTAGCGCGGTTCACCATCTAGACGTTGGATCTGTCCTACACCTCATGTGCGATGCGATTTGAAAAAGTGGCGGAAGAACGTCCGCGACGAGCGCGTTTCGTGGGAGAACCGTTGATCGTTGCGGTGCTCTTGGTACGGCTCGCAGGAGGAGAAACGATTTTAAATTGCTGTCAAGTCGGGTCATGGTCGGATCGATTCTCGGAGTTAGGCGCAATTGCGCGACGTCGATTCGTGAACAGAAGAAATAAGGCCTTTATTGCCATACCGCTAAACCCGTAATCGCTTTTCGATTAAAACAAAAAACGCTCGCTTAGGCCTCAGCGCATGGAGTGGAATCGATAACGACACTTTACTGGTAGTAAACTATTATAAATTCTTGTTTTTGCAGAATGTTTATTACTATATCTGTATCATAATTAAACTGTAGATCTTTATGCAAAATAAAATCTTGACGTATCTACAAAAATTGAACCTTAACAGGAATTTATTTTACTCTGAAAGTATTATAATATGAAATTTACATGCAATAACATTTACAATGCATAAAAATCCGCAGTCTAATCATAATTAAAGTTCTCCAGTGATAGAGTCGTTAAGAGTCGTTAATACTGAAACAGTACAGAATAACAAGACGTTAAATAAAATATTCTTAGAGAATATTTGTAGCAAGTATTCAATAGAAACTCTGCCACTAGTTTTTGAATCGTTCGCAGAGTATTCTCTCGTTTCGACTAATGCTACGTATTTCACGTGCACACACGTTGCAAGCATTCCAACACGTGATGGTATTCGCACGTGTTTATACTGGAGCCTCCTAGTACTCGTGTACTCGGATTTATGTGCACGCTAAGGTTGTTCTTATTTTGCTGTCGAATTTTGTTGTAACCTCTCTTCCACAAATACAAAGTTAAATACAAACATCGATTAAGTTTATTTAGAACGCATTCTCGATTCTCGATTTTCAAATTAATAATGGCAAATTAATTTACAGATAGAAACATTAAGACATTATTCGTGTCGATTACAAGATATCTCAGGAATCAGTAGACCCCATCGTTATTCCACAAGAAAAGAAGGCGAACCATACAGCAACTTCTCGGCCGTCGCAGGGCAGCTTCATTATCTGATTTCAGAGGAACCATTGTGATCCCACAATCAATAGAAATCTTCCATTCAATCAGTTCACCAGAAAGGAATGGAAGTGAGTAGTGGCATCCATACAAACAGATTCAAACAGATTTCAAATACAGTAAAGTTTCCATAAATGCACTAGTTCAGTCTCGAGTTTGTGCATTTATGGAGACTTTACTGTATTTGGAATCTGTTTGCTGTATGGATGTTACTACTACATGAATGCTCATAAATGCACAAACTCGAGACTGAACTAGTGCATTTATGGAGAC